AACCCGCGACCCTCAGATTGCGAGTCGAGCGCTCTAACCACCTGGCCATGCCAGGCCAGCAAAGGAAGAGAAAGATAAATGAAGAAATCTGAAATGATTTTACTGGATCTTATTTTTCACAGTCAGAGGTAAAAATCTGCGATACTGAAGAAAGTAAACAAGCAGTGCAAGTAGAAAATCATTATACTAACGAAGGAAGTGAAAAACATACAAAGAAAAATAATGACAAAATTAATAAAAAAAGTGAAGGACATTAAAGGATTTAAAATAATGTTTTAATTCAAACGGTGGTGGTTTGGGGAACAATAATATATATATATTAAACAGTAAGCTGTCCATTGGAATACCTGAGCTATGCCCACCGCAAGGATTTAGCTCCAAACTTTCTATAAGTTCTCGAGCTTATCACTGAGCCACCGAAGAGTAATACGGTTAAGAAAAATATTTAAATGAATAATAACACTATTAAATAGAATTTACTAATGTATATTCAGCATAACTTTAATAAGGGAAAGATATGACAAAACGCTAGAAAGAAAAAAAACCTCTGTAAAATTGTCACTAATCTCCCTCATTTTATGGAATTTTACAGTGTCATAATATGAAAGCTAAAAATTGTTCCTTTGTTTGGTTTCCATTTACAGACTCGTTGTTGAAGCTGGCATTTCGTCTATTACATATTCCATTAGTTTCTTCTTAATCATTCCATCATGGGTAATATTTTAAAATAAGATAAATTGGAAAACTCTAACATATTAGTAGATAATCGTATTTCTTCTAAATATAAATTGTGTGATTTTCTCACATTTTGAACAATAAAGTAATATTTGTGCATTGAATTATTTTTTCTTTTAACATGCACTTTAGAAAACGTTGCGGTAGCCGGTGGAAAGATGACTCTACCCTGCAATATTACTCCCATATCATCAGATGACAGAGCCGTTTTGGTCCTCTGGTATAAAGACGACTTTTCTAAGCCAGTTTATAGTTTAGATTCGAGAAAAGGAGAGATATCTCAGGCACGACATGCCACAAGTGAGACCTTTACTGGACGAGCCTATTTCAGTACAGTCGACAGGCCAGCAGTTCTTGTGTTGGAGCCTTTGGTGCCAGAGGATGAGGGCCGCTATCGATGTAGAGTAGACTTTGAGCGGGAGAGAACAAGACATAGCGAATTTTATCTTGTGGTGATTGGTTGGTAGCTGAATTGTATTTCTTTCAATCGTTTGTACTTGGATACAATCGTATGTTCTTCATTTTGCTATTGACCGCAATTAATGAGATTCCTAATTTAAGCAAGGACAGTTTAACATAAGAAATAACTAAAGCTGATTAAACAGTTTTTATTAGTTAGAAAAGAAACTGAACACAAAATTCATGAGGTCATTGTTTAGGTAAATCAAGTAGCAAAAATTAACATTAATTTTATCTGTACTTGTACTGGAATTAAAACAAGTTAAGTGTCATCTCCACAGAAGTTTTTAATATGATATAAGCAAAAGCTAAGACTTCCTCCTAATATCAAAACCAACTCTAACTATTGTCAGGAATGCCTATAGCATCAATAAAATAATTACTTATACTAAAGATTATTGAATAAAAATTTACTAAATGTTACGAAACAGAAACATATCTTGTTTTACTCAGTAACCGTAAGAGATAAACACAGAATAAAAAAACAAAACAGTAAAGAATAAAATATTTGTTTAACTTCATAATGTTTATCCTCTCATTTGCTTTTGCTGACGAAAAATTATCACACTTTGAGTATTCGTATTATAGGATTTTTATTTGTTACTTCAAAACTGTTTAGTTAGTTTATATCCTGAACAGGAAATTAACTGTTCAAAAAGATGTATGTGTGGCTCTAACTAAAATGTATTATTAAGAATAATAGTCATGAGCACAAGAGGATACATATATACACAAACTACAAAAATGTTGCCTAAGGTAAACTTTTTTGGGGTGCTCTAAGTTTTTACTATATTCCTTATATCTGTGTTTTTGTTTGCTGCTATTCTTTTAATACTTTAGTACGTTCACTTTTAACTCTCAGAAGCATACCTTTTCTTTACAATCATTTACTAGATATTTTCATTAAGATAAGTACTTATTATATTTATTAACTTAATTACTGTTTACTGTGTAATTCTCCCGAGCTTAAAAGTAACGTGCTAATAATTGAAAACTTTGTGTCTTGATGGTAATAACATTTTTTGCTTAATTAATCAAAATGTATGACGAAAATTGTTTCGTTAAGAACAAAAGTATTATTCGGTAGTATAACATTAAAGATACTTTTTTTTCTGCCTCAGTGCCTCCTAAAAGGCTTGTGATTACGGACGAACGAGGTGATACAGTTCAGAGTCTAATAGGTCCTTATAACGAGGGAGATCGTCTCACGTTGACATGCCATGTTGAAGGAGGTACGGAGAACTAATCTATATGACATTATAGCTGAAACTTAATAGTTTGAATTATTGATTGCAATCTTCTGAAGGCTGATGAAAAGAAAACTCTCGACACTACTCTGATGTCACAAGGACGAAAAATTATCTTGGTTCGCAAAATTTAATGAATTGTATTATCACATAATCAAGAATTGATCAGATGAAGTAAGAATTTCCAAGCGATTGTTTATTTGCTAAAAATAAGGTTGTTACACCGGTGGCTCAACTTGAGAGCTTATGAAACTAAAATCCTGGGTTCGATCCTTGTAATGGGCACGAAATAGATAGTTCACCGTGCAGCTTTCTGTTTAACAACATATAAGCAAACAATTATGATAAAAAAAACACTTCTCATTTATCTCTACATAAACATTCGTTATCTAACATTTATTGTTTCTTAACTGGGAATATTTTCTTCTGACTCGTCATGACATTGCTTGGTTAAAGGTTAATATTAAATATGTAGTTAAAAAAAAGAGGAAACACCATTTAATGTTGGGTTTAATATAGGAATGGTTATTGGATTACATTATAACTAATATATCACGTACAAATATGTAGTTTAAAACTAATAATACATTTACAAAAGCAATAGTTTTCTAGGCATTGTTATGGTAAGCAATCGTGCAGCAATTCAGCATACATGGATTATAAATAATCAGCTTTTTGAATACCCATTAAATCCAGTTTTTGCCTTTTTCAGCCCATTGGAAATACGTTGGTGTCATTTGGTTGAAAACATTGTGCTCAGTGTTGTGTTATGTATCAAACTAACTTCGTAATAGTGATGTCTTATGACAATGTTTTTGTTGATTATCCAAGAGGTTCTATTTATGGTTTGTGCGTAAGTTTACAAATTAGTGATCAGATAAACAGAGTAGATATCTTTAATGATCTAAGCATGTTTAATTGTTTGATTTATCGAGTCTTACCTCGTTAATTTAGTGATGTATTTTAATATCAAAAGTATGGTATATAAACACTACATAAGTATGCATGTGTGAGATGAAATTATAATAGAAATTCATCAGATATATAACTTAAACAAATCAAGAATGTGCACATCAACTGTTTAAATTTAAAGAGGGACAAAGCCCGTCTATTCAAAACTCACTTGCAAGAATATGACATGATATTTTGAGATAAATCTGCTTGTAAAAGTGACATGAATGAGTTAATTTGATACTGGTCAATTTTTTTGTGCGTGTAAGAAACATCTTTATCTAGATAAATCGAAAATTGATAAACCAAATAATGTAAATGTTTTATCAAGAATTCTTGGAATTACGACTTCTAAGAAATACAATATTATTAAATAAAGGTGGGGAAAAATGGGGGAATATACGGTTTCTTTGTTCTTGTCTATTGTCACGAAGCGTTTTCTTTTGAGCTACCTCAGCTGGCTAACGTGATATTGATACTATGAAACTGAATTAATGATAAGGCTAACATTTTACAAATTCTACGCTTATTGGCTAGTTGCATATGAATGATTAAAAAGTAAATGTAGTTGTAATCATGCAGGAGGAAGACAAGACCCATTGTACAACTATTAAGTAAACTATTAATCTACATGGGTACAGGGATAATCTGTTTTTTTTTTTATCTTTGAGATGCGAATGAACGTGGCTTTAAAATATTAACTCCTTATCTGATTGAATAAATTTCTATAAATACGTTAAAGTTTAATTCTTGAATTAGAAAAGTTGGTGCAGGCAGTGAGGAATATAAAATAATGGAGAACCACAGCCGTTGACCATCATACACGAATATGACACCATGATTGATTGATTGAAAAATTTGATTGATGTTTAAATATAGTTATGCAGGCGATTTTTTGTGTGGAAAAAATATGATATTTAAGATTCAGCACGCAACCTAAATTTGTTACTAACGTGGCATTAGCATGTTGTTTTGTCAGGTACACCTACACCATCGGTCACCTGGTGGCGAGAGTCTGTATTATTGGATGAAACTTACGATACAACAATTTTCGGTGAAGTTCGAAACAAGCTACAGATCGAACAGCTTCGGAGACATGACCTTATGGCGACGTTCACGTGTCAGGCCTCTAACAACAACATTTCTCTTCCTATAACTTCAACCGTTACGATAGACATGAATTGTGAGTACCAATCCGTTTAACAAAAATAATTAGTGTTACCGCTATTATTAGCGGACATTTTTTCAAAAATAATGAACGTATAAATGTTACCGTTATTATTAGTGGACACTCTTTCAAAATTAATAACGTATAAGTGTTACCGTTATTATTAGCGGACAATTTTTTCAAAAATAATTAATGTATAAGTGTTTCCATTATTATTAGCGGACATTTTTTTCAAAAATAATTAACGTATAAGTGTTACCATTATCATTAGCGGACATTTTTTTCAAAAATAATTAACGTATAAGTGTTACCATTATTATTAGCGGACAATTTTTTTCAAAAATAATTAATGTATAAGTGTTACCGTTATTATTAGTGGACACTCTTTCAAAATTATAAGTGTTACCATTATTATTAGCGGACATTTTTTCAAAAATAATTAACGTATAAGTGTTACCGTTATTATTAGCGGACATTTTTTTCAAAAATAATTAACGTATAAGTGTTACCGTTATTATTAGCGGACATTTTTTCAAAAATAATTAACGTATAAATGTTACCGTTATTATTAGCGGACATTTTTTCAAAAATAATTAACGTATAAGTGTTACCGTTATTATTATTGGACACTCTTTCAAAATTAATAACGTATAAGTGTTACCATTATTATTAGCGGACATGTTTTTTCAAAAATAATTAACTTATAAGTGTATAAGTTATAATTAACGGACATTTTTTCTCAGGGATATGTTTCTCAAAGGTCAAAATGTTTCCTTCCTATTACACATTTTTTATTCCTAGTTTAATTCTTACAGAGGTAATGGTATATTAATAATTATCCCTTATTATTGACACAGTAATAAATTGAACCTAAACATGCATTATCGTTTACTATGTGGTTTTATCATGAAAGTGGCATTATTCAACATCAGTACACAAATGTTACTAAAATCAAATGAGTGCGCATCATTCAGTACAAATGTGTTACCAAGAGTAATTCACTCTGTGTAACAAAAGTATTACCTAAGGTAATGTGTACGTAAATGTGTACGTTACGTAAATGTGTACTCGGATTGTCCTTGTTAGAAGAAACAAGGTCGTCAAATACTCTTTGCTAAAACTTACATGACTCCACCAAAACCGATTTTTGAGAGCTTACATCTGAGCTTGCTCTATGTCTAATTATGTAATTCACAATATAATTATTTGTTATTATTATAATGTTTCTTCTAAGAAAAGCAAGTTTAAGTTTCGAGAATTAGCTCTACTAAATGCGTAATTTCTGATGAGTAGTGTGCAACGAAATATGATACTTTGTGTTACAGACAATCTTTGAATGACGTCTCTAATGTGTTACACAGAATCTTTAAATTTTGTCTCTAATGTGTTACACACAATCTTTGAATGATATATCTAATATGTTACACACAATCTTTGAATGATGTCTCTAATGTGTTACACACAATCTTTGAATGATGTCTCTAATATGTTACACACAATATTTGAATGATGTCTCTACTATGTTACACACAATATTTGAATGATGTCTCTAATATGTTACACACAATCTTTGAGTGATGTCTCTAAATGCCTAAAACAAAGATGATTCGCATTGGAACCTTTAATATTCAATATTCATTCTTCTGATATGAATTCTTTGGAGAATATTTTATTCCTATATTCATTTAAATTGAACAATTTATTTCTAATAGCGGAACATACAACAACCACTTCTACGGCATGACTGCAACTGTCTGTATCTTTTAAGATAGAACACTCTTCATCTAATGAACATGGAAGATATTGCAATTATAGTGCATAATTTATGATGAATTATAATTTCAATAATAGCACTGGAAGGTTAATTACGTGAAATAGTTTTTAGTAATAAACTCGATCCTTGTAAATGTTTTATACACTACAAAAAGAGTAATGTTCCACACGTTGCAATTACAAAATCGTTCAGCTACACTGAATAATTTCGATCTCGGAGAAAATAGAACTGCTCTGGGAGTAATGAAATAATACTGTTGGGATGTTGCCTGTCTTATTTCTACCCATTTCTGCGTAACTTGCAAGGTAGTGGTTGGCACTTGGCTGAACTCCAGTTTGAGCTCCAAACTCGGCCCAGTGTGGCACAATTGTTTGAGAGAATGTGTCACAAAACACGTTGTTTATTAATCACGCGTTTTTTTTTATATCTGAGTTAATTATAATGTTATCCTAACAACATTTTAACTGAGCAAAGTGAGTTCGAACGTTTACAATTCTCCAGCCTGACTGGAAGGCGAGAGATGAGGTAATTAAAGTTAAGTGTTTTATATTAAGGACGTGTAAAGATAGTTGACCAAATGGATTAAAATCCTATCTATTCAACTAACTATCTTCTTATCAGTTCTGTTCTACAGAGGCAGTGACAATAAGCTGGTTCGCAAACTTTTTTAAAGGGTCTGACAATTATAGAATTTCTGAGAATGAAACTTAAACACATCGGTTTATTGAGCCGTTTTAACACACACAAAACGAAGATGTACTTTATTGAATGAAATTTTAATGATATATATAAATGTATATCACATCAGGCGTTGCACACTTTGAAACACAACCTCATTAATTTCTTGGTATGCTAATGAGAGTTATTTCAACTGTTTACAATTAAAACGAAATAACATACATGCTGGGCCACAAGTTCTCTGTGTATTTATTTGAACAGAACACGTTTAAGTGTCAAGTGAGAACATTCCGGATTAAACGTTTCCTGCTTCTCTTTGATCGTGATTATAAATTAGAAACGTAGGGTAACCTTAATGGTTCAAAACAAAAATCAACTAAAATTATGTTAGTATAATGAATACAATTACACCAGGCCATACTATGGATTGTTATCGATAATAAGATTTTAAATTGAGAGGATTAATAGATTGCCTATATTATTTAATCTTAGTCTTTGTGTTACACAATAAACACCCCTCTTCGCCATAATTTTAGTTGATTTTTACGTGTACTTTAGTATAATGAATAAAATTACACCAGGCCATACTATGGATTGTTATCGATAATAAGATTTTAAAGTGAGAGGATTATTAGATTGCCTATATTATTTAATCTTAGTCTTTGTGTTACAAAATAAACACCCCTCTTCGTGTACACGTAAAAATCAACTAAAATTATGTTAGTATAATGAATAAAATTACACCAGGCCATACTATGGATTGTTATCGATAATAAGATTTTAAATTGAGAGGATTAATAGATTGCCTATATTATTTAATCTTAGTCTTTGTGTTACACAATAAACACCCCTCTTCGTGTACACGTAAAAATCAACTAAAATTATGGATTGTTATCGATAATAAGATTTTAAATTGAGAGGATTATTAGATTGCCTATATTATTTAATCTTAGTCTTTGTGTTACACAATAAACACCCCTCTTCGTGTACACGTAAA